TTTGTTTTACAGCTCTGATGATGTAGATCATCGTTCTTCGCACACCAATATTGCCCAGGCTAGCTCCGTCCCCTTTGCACCACCGCAGATGCCAGTCTCTGCATCCATGCCGTGGCTCGGTAGTGGTCAGACCAGTATGGGAGCCAGTGTGGTACGCAATTCTTCACTGCAAATCTACACAGCTGTGCAACCTGAATCCAGCAAAACCAGGCAGCAGTACATATGCAGTATTTAGTGATAACCAGTAGGGGGTGATTAAGTTCTGTTTCAGGGCTCATAGAAAGGGTGGCATGACTCTGCAGTCGTTTCATTTCATAATATTCATTAGTAAAGATTTAGATGTAGTTTTACAAAATGAAAACGCTTCATTTAAAACTCTGCTTCTGGAAAGAAATCAATTTAATTTGGGGATTTTATTCAGCAGTCTGCAGGGCTTGCACGCTTTCAGGCAAAGTTTGTTTTTTATTGTTATCGCTGCTGAACCACGCCGACTAAACAGCTGGCCTGCTGAGTCTGTAGATGCAGATACAGACTGGGGGTGTGTCTGCGTGGCAGTGATGGCTACATATAAACACAGATATCACAAGCCCTTTCAGACGGCTAGCCAAGGTACAGATTTGCGTCAGAGTAACACGCAGATAGGTTCTCCGTGTCCCAGCCACGGTGATAAATGTTTAGTGTGATACGCAAAGGAGGACAAGACCGAGGGTGTCACAGAGGTTCAAACGACTGTGGAAGCGGTTTTGTTAAATGTGAAGGGGGAGGAGGGCTCTCTTAACATATTCAATTATCATATTCTGATGTGCAGCAAAATTAGTTGCACTTCTATTTCATGTAAATTGGTTTGTTGTTTCATCTGTCTAAAAGCTGCTATCTGTCCAGTTTTAGAATTAGTCTTTACAGCGGTGGTCAGAAGTTTTTTCATGACCAAAATGTGAAATTACATGCACGTAAAATACTTTAAAGATATTGTTGATGCTGAAGAAGTCATGAAAGTGCAGGAATGAGTTTTAACTAAAAGAGCTGGAAGCTCTGAATATTGAGGCGATCTGCAGAAATTTGCTTGATGTTTGAAGTGATGTGTTGGTGTGTAATTTACCATAGTCGCGTATAAGTCTGAACGAGCGCACACCTGAACGAGTGTCATGTGTGTCTGAGAAGAAGATTCGATAAAAGTGATTTAAACTCTTGCGCACATAGACGGTGCCTCAGTCAGCCCATCATCCAATCACGTTACTGCTTGGGTTAGCCCAAGGCTCCAGTTAAAAATGCCTAAAGACTGCTTGATGACCACTGATGATCGGCGCTGCACTGAATGGTAGCAGATTGATATGGTCGCCTTTGATTAATGTGTAAAACCAATTTGTCTGCAAAAACTTGCTAAATGCACGCTAAGTGGTAGTGACACTGTGAAGAGTGGAACCCAAATGGGCAACAGTTATTGTTCAGGGGGTCGTCAACCACTCACTAGGCTGATCTTCACGCCTGACGTTTTCAGATAGTTAACTCAATTGTTTGCCCAATTAATTTAAGCTAATTACAAGATAAATGTATGTTTATATTGATGTCTTTCAGATTATGAAGAGGAATCTAAACAATGTGAAGAGAATGACATCCCATCCCATATATCAGTACTGTGAGTGCTACTTTGAGAGGATTCACCAGTATACATGTTTAACATGTATAAGTCAATTATATAGCTTCTCCTGCTTTGTATTCCTGTTCTTTTCCCACCATCTCTCTCCCTTTCTTTTCCTGGTTTGTGTGTGTGTGGGGCTGTGTATCAGACATGACTGGGGCTCAGGATGGTAGCGTGAGGATGTTTGAATGGAACAGACCTCAGCAACTCATTTGCTTCAGACAAGCAGGCAACGCTCGAGTCACCCGTCTCTATTTCAACTCCCAGGGCAATAAGGTACACACACAAAGTAGCAACTGTGTTTTGTGTGTATGTCAATCAGATGTCATTTTTCTGATTCCTCTGAAACATTCTTGTAGTGTGGAGTCGCTGATGGAGAGGGCTTCCTCAGTCTCTGGCAGGTTAACCAGACATCGTCCAACCCCAAACCGTACCTGGTAAGGTTCCCTCCCACCTCCTTGTTCACAGTCGCAGCACAGACACAATATGAGTGGTCTGTATAATTCAAATGAAAATGTGCTTTTATTTTCCTGTTCTTGCTCTCAGAGTTGGCAATGCCACACTAAGACCTGCGGGGATTTCGCTTTCATCACATCCTCCAGTCTCATCGCCACGGCCGGGCAGTCCAATGATAACAGGTCAGATTTGGACTACTAATCAAACACTGCTCTTTTTCTTTTTGTTTATTTTTTTTCAGCTGCCTAATATTTTGCTTTATGTTATTTATAGAAATGTTTGCCTGTGGGACACTCTGATTTCACCTAACAATACTATGGTGCATGGTGAGAAATCCATATTTATTCTAATAAGTGAGTTTCAGTGAGTTTCTTTTTCCCTATATTTCAAGTTTCTCCACTTTTACTTCCTACCTCCCCCTTCAGCTTTTCCCTGCCATGAGAACGGGGCCACTGTGCTTCAGTATGCTCCTAAACAGCAGCTGCTGATTACTGGAGGCAGAAAAGGCTTTGTGTGCGTGTTTGACATCCGACAGCGGCAGCTGCTCCACACTTTCCAGGCCCATGATTCAGCCATCAAGGCCCTCGCATTGGATGCCTTTGAGGACTTCTTCGTCACTGGCTCTGCAGAGGGCAACATGAAGGTGACGCATGCTCTTTCTCTCACTCACTTCCTTGCTGATACACGCTCACATTGTGTGCTGAGGAATAATATCCTTTTGTGTCAGTGAATGTTATTGAACTTAAGCACTGTGTAAAGCATTCAACATCAAAACTACTGAGAATTCTTTTATATTCATTCCAACAGTTTTTTGTTTTTTTTTAATCCACAAACTGGAGGAGTATTCGGTGCAGCCCTCTAGCCTTCAAACAACACTTTTGTCCCTGGATTTAAGATTTCAGGTCTAGTTTTTCAGGCTTTGCTGTTGTGGTTTGTTTATTAAGTATTCCGGTATACGGTGGGCTTACCAGCCTGGTGTGGGTCTGGAAAATTAAGCTGACCCTGAAGCACTGGAAAGCACGGCATTCATACTGGTGCACAAGAGGACAACAATCAGTGGAGGGTGTGATTTACATGTGGGTGTTAAACAGAGGAAGACAACAGCAGGGTGACGAGATCAAAGACTTAAAACACAGAGGTGATATGGTCTAAAGGTCAACACTGCACTGCCGGGATGACTGCGTTCTTGTTATAGATGTTATAAGCAGGAACAAGAAACTGTTAAAGGCAAAGGATTTAGAGAAGTGAGTCTTTCATGCTGCTTTTAATCATCTCAGATTCTTTTATCTTTTTTTTTTTTCTTTCTTTTATCTTTTAATGTAAACTCAGACTGATTTGATGATAAAGCCTCTGTGGGTGCCATACTGTCTGCTGCAGGAAGCCTTGTTCTTCTTGTCACTAAAAATAGTTCGTTATGACTTTGGCTGAACTAACTAAAACACAGACTACTGTATGTTTTTTATATTCAAATCTGACTTCATATTTATCAGTGACAGTCAAAGCAGCAGTGTGTTAATGTTTGGCACAATCACATGGAGTACTGGTTGAAATTACTGTCCTGAAATATTTGATAATTATTTTTATTACTGATAAATGTGTTCTCTGTATTCTGACTTTGTTGATTTGCTAATAAAAATTGCTGTGATCACCTGTAGTTTTCATGGAAGACACCAACTTGTCTGGAAATACTCGCCATTTACTCTACATGTTGTGAAATGTAAAAACATTTAAGGAAACCAGAAATTAAGGCTGTTCGCCTTCAAAGTAAAATTTGTGCCTGATCACTGTAACTAACACATTTGAAAGGGTGCAGATGGTCTCTGTTTTTTGTTTTTTGTTTGCATCAGACTTTCAATCATTTCACTTCTGCTTGGCGAGTGTGTACAGACAAGTCAAGTTATGCAAACTACCGGCAACTTCGTCAACCTGCTAGTGACAAAAGCAAACACAGATTAGCACTCTATGTCCAACCTCTTTGTCTTTCCTGCTACTGCCATCAACCTCCAGCAACCACCTTTTTGGGGGGGTTGTCTGGATCCTTAAAGCACATTTGTCTCTTTGTAGAAACAACATGGAAAAATGCTAATTGATCACAAATGCCAAGTGGTGTCTCCAGCCAGATAGTTTTTAATTTCTCCAGTTTCATTATTTAAAAAATGCTCTGTTTGGGGTTTTTTTTTTTTTTTTTTTTAGGTCCTAAATCAAACTTTTTTATTTTTCCATCCAGAAACCCTGGGAAGAGAAACTAATTATATACTCTGTTCTCGCTCTCTCTCTCTTCCTTCGTACCCAGGTGTGGAAGCTAGCCGGCCACGGGCTCATGCACTCTTTTAGCACAGAGCACGCCAAGCAGTCCATCTTCCGGAACATCGGCGCAGGTGTCATGCAGGTGGAGACGCGACCCGTAAACCGAATCTTCACCTGCGGAGCAGACGGCACCCTAAAGATGAGGGTCCTCCCAGACCGCTACAATATCCCCAGCAGCTTGGTTGACGCCCTGTAATGCTTTTTGTAATTCTGAGGGTCCTAAGAGGAAAGGGTCAGAAAGTGGAGGAAAAAACCAAAATGCTTCTGTAACACTCTGTAGGCATTAATAGAAACGCTGCTGGGGGAAGAGTTAGTCAAAAGATTACCACGCTGTTGGCATCTTTCAGCATGAACGGTGTTCATGAGTTTACTGTTGGTCGTATCCAGAACGATTAAAAACGGAGCTGCAAACATTTTATTTTCCCAAAGGCTGAAAACAAAGTTACAAGCAAACGGTATCATACTTGATTTTAAAGCTAGTTTTATTGTAATTTTATCGAAGAATCTCTACTCTTAGAGTGTGTCCATAGGGAAGCTATGCATGTCCTGTTCTCGTTATGCGGTGCAATCACAGGTCTATTGATAGTGCTCTGTAAAAGTGCTCAAGCAAAAATTTTAAAAGTGTGTAACTGTCGTCATTTTGTGCCCACAGCTGAAATCTCTTAGCATCTACTGTAACCAGCACTGTGGTTTGTTATTAAGTCAGTGGTTTCCAGTGTGAATCGAGTTGTTGGAATCTGCATTTTGTTTCAATGGTTTTTGCCCCCCACCCTCCTGCCTTTTATTTGCCCAGCTTTCTCAGCTCCGTGGAAGAGTTGATGGTGCATTTGCTCCTGATAGTGACACCTGTCTGTATCCCCCCCCCTTCTTTTTTTCCACTGGCTGCCCATCACTCACTTGGCCTATAATGGTTCGGGTTCAGCCCGCTCCAGTTTGGCCCTCTGCGTGCGTGTTCACTCTGCTGTGTCTGCCATCTGTACGTCTGCGCGCCCACCTGCCCTCAAATGCCTGTTTGTGTGGCAGACTCACTGCTAGAACATTCCTGTTTGGAAGATGGTGTGTTTTACTCCTGTGACTGTGATTTCAGTGTTTCCATCTGTCTGGTAAAACGCTAAAGATCCACCCACCCACTCACCCCAGAGCAGAAACACAAAGGTTCACTTCTGGTTTTATCACAAAGATTTCTTTTTTTTTTTTTTTAATTGAGTTGATTTTCTTATTTAAGTTATTTATGTTTGTGTTCATTTGGTTGACCATTCCTTTGTAAAACTATTTAACTTATTGCCTTTTATTTTAGGAATGTAAGGGGTTTTACTGTAATCTGACTGGGAGATGTGCAACAGTCTACTGTATGTAAGTGTGTGTTTACCTCACTAGTTGTTTTTACTGTTTCATCCATAAGGAATAGATATTTGCACTCAAATTCTGGAGACACTAAAAGTTTATTTCAAATAAATAGGTTATTAAAGAGGAAACGATTATATACAAATGAATGTCTGGCTTTATTTGGCCTACTAGTACAACATTTGAAATAGTTTTATTATAAATTATATAAATATATATATATGAACTATCACAACAACCTTGTACAAACATGAAGGCATTTCTTTATTTTTGGTTTGTATCATACCAGTTGGATTAGTTGTAACTTTTGTTAAGTGTATGTATGGTATTTATTAAAGAGATTTGTGTTTCTCTCCCTCTCTTTCTGCCCTCTGTGTGTACTGTATGCATCTTAAGTGTTTCCCTAATGGTCCCACTGGTGTCGTGTGTGTGTGTCTGTGTGTGCGCGCGTGTTCATGTGCGTACGTGCACATCAAACAGTCCAAAAGAAGCCATTATTATGAGTAGAGGCCTATTATGGTACTTGAGCCTGAAGGTGTGTAAGAGAACAGGTCATGATCAGTTTTACCTTTGTAAAGTGAATAAATTCTTTTTATTTCATCAGGATGAATTGGCGCTTTTTTTTTCTTTTTTCTTTTATTTTTATTATCTTGTTCAGCCAGAGAGCTGTGCTGCTCCCTTACAAAGGCAGGTTTGTCTATATGTACAGAAAGAGGGGGAAGGGACATCACGAGTTGCATCTGTATAAAAATCAAGCAGTGGTGACCACCATGCAAAAACGCAAATGGCAACAAAAGTTGAGTTATAGGTTTGATTGGCATAAACTGCCAGCTTATACAAAATGATAAGTTTTCACACTATTAGTAAATCTTGTGTCCTTTGAAAACTCCATGTACAGTAAATACAGCACTTCCTTCATCCATCCATTCAGACATTTTTTTTCCACGAAAGGACGGATACACCCTGGACCGGTCAGCAGTCGCTGCAGGGCTAACAGATAGTCAGACAAACATTCACACCTATGGGCAATTTATAATTGCCAGTTGAGCTCACTCCACTAACTGGATGTCTTTGGACTGTGGGAAGAAGCTGGACTACATGGGGGAAACATGCAAATTCCATACAGAAAGGCCCTGGCCAGGTGGCGGATTCAAACCCAGGACCTTCTGGCTGTGAGGCAACAGCGCAAACGTCTTGTTAACCAAAACCATATTTACTTTAGTGAAATAGTTTGACGGTCAATTACAATTTCACTTAACACAAAAGTAACACAGGACAATATATTTAAAACAGTGACACACACACTGTATGTCACTCTTGAGTTATCAGTTTTCAGATGCAGTGAATAGATGAAAGTCTGCAGGCGTTTTGCTCTCAGTATTTACTGTAACAGTCGTGTTCGGACATCATGTTTCTCACTCATCAGAGATGAAGTGGACCACATACAGCCTGACGTAGCTGTGGTCCCAAACATACAGGTGTCTGTCCTTTGGGCTGTAGGAGAGCATTGCCAGCACTTCACCAGCAGACCTCAGGTCAAAGGTCACATTGACCGGCTTTCCCTTCAGCAGGTCAAACGCAAAGGTGACTCTGGTGTCCTTGGTGTCGGTGACATACAGGACGCCACAGGCGATGAAGGCGTTGCCGGCTTTGATGCGAGGATAGGTGGTGTTCACGTAGGATGTGACGGAGAAGGTCTTCTGGTCCAGCTGGGCCACCATGATGCTCTCGTCAACATTGGATGCAAAGATCAGCCACAGGCCGTTCTCATCTGCTGCCAGCTTGAAGTAGGTCTTAGAGTTGGGGAGCAGGTAGGCGAGGTTGTTGTACAAAGAGTTTTCAATAGTGAGAGTCTGAAGTCTTTTGGTGCTGAAGTCAAATCTGTGAACACACAAGCAGGAAGCTGCTAAATGAAGGATGTGGAAGTCATGAAAAAATCACCTTGATGTGCATCGAGTGGCTTTAAGGCTTACTTGGCAATGCTGGGAGTGCCAGCAGCATGATAATAAAAGAAACCATTGTGAACGATGTGGCCGCAGCCTTGATAGTACTTTATAACGTCTATGGTGTCGCTGCTGTTCTTCTGGAAGAAGGAAATGCTTTTGTACTCCTTCAGCATGCGACCTGGGGAAGAACAAGCAAAATCTTTACTGCTAAAAGATGTGGAGATTATAAAAGTGGGGACAGGAGCACCTGCGCGACACTCTGTAACCAGCCTACCAGAAAAGTGATCCGCCACCCATATTCGCTCATCGTTCAGCTGAGCGGTGTCCTTCATCCATGTGCCAAATGTGGTTTTCATCTTTGTCACATTTCTGGGGTTGATCAGAGACTTAATCAGGCAGTCTGTGGGAAAAAAAAACAAAAAATCTCAGGTGATTTACTCACAGGTCACATGACTGCACATGAACACTACCTCCTCTGGAAACGTACCGTTCCTTTGGGCAGCCTTCTCGTGTAGTTTTTCTGTCTCCTTTACAGGTGAGGTTTCATCATTTGGGATTGCATGTAGCCCTGTTAGAAGCAGTTTCATCCTGTTTTAGTCATGTCATTGATGGACTAGTTTGTCAGAAGGTTTCAATTAGACACTTTATGGGGAGGTGGGGGTCTTTGAATTTAAAAAAAGAGAGAGAATTTGAACCTTTTTCCCGAGAGCTTTGATTGCATTGAAAATTATTTTGTCAACAACTGTTTCTAGGATCACAAATGTCACCTGCAAAGTATGACTGATCTCTCACCCTGATTATGAGAAGCTTGGAGGTGAGCTCTGCGGTGCCCTATTCTGGGAGGCCCCTGAGGCCCAGGCGGGCCAGGAGGACCCATAGGCCCAGGTGGTCCTGGAGGCCCAGGTGGACCTGCTCAAATGGAGAGAATGTCTAAATGTTATCCATTTAAATGTATGTTTATTTCAGGTCATCTG